AGCTTGCTGTCGAGCTTGCGCATGTTTCCACAGTCTCTGTTTTCCAGGATGGTTTCTTTGAACAGCTACATGGCAAGCTTCCCTTATCGGCATCTGAAGTTGTATATAGATAAAGAAATTGTTGTGGTCAATTGAAATAGACGATGCTCTGGCAAGGAGGAACTTATGGGGTTTTTTACTAAATAATACATAAGACATAATATATTTTGTGTGAAAGAAACTTAGAAAAATGCAATCAGTTGAACTACAGAAGATATACTCTTTGGCAGTAGATACCAAACAAAAATAGGAAACCAGAAACAAGTGACCCGCGAAACCAATACTAGAGAATTTTGACCTGCAAGACAAGGCTCCCTGAATAGTCAGCAATTCCACCCATCACATCTAACCTTCCAGGTGCTCTGGCAACAAAGATTTCTTCCTGCAAAAGCATAGAGGTAACTCAACAAATAACAACCCAACTCAGAGTTATAAGAGGCTAACTTAACCTGATGGCAAAATTGTTCCTTATGAATGAGGCTTCCACTAACTAAAAGAAATGATGCCATTATTTAATTGTATCTTCCAAGAATATTCATAGTAAAACCACGCTTCTGGAAAAGCTGGAAGTTGATTTTTGCAAGGCAGTGAAAGCACTAGGCAAGAACTAAGGCCACTATTTCTTTCTATATCTTTTCAGTATAATGCTTACTAGAGCTACAAAAAGAGTCAATAAAACAAGAAATATATGTAACCTCCCAATTGAAGAGCCCACCAGCAGCTTTCCGCTCACGCATGGTTTTTTTCTCCATACTCTTCTCAGAATCATGAATAACATCTAGCTTGGCTAAACTCTTAAGAAAAGTCCATGTATCTGAAAGACCTTGAACATCGCCTTGAAGGATATCAAAATCATCGGTGCACCTGTAAGATAAGTGAAGGGATGAGGAAAAAGAAAGAGAACAATTGGAAATAGTCAGACAAAAACCAATACTTACGACTCCACCAATGAGTTGCTCTCATTCGCTTGAACTGTAGGTGATGATCCAGCAGATTGACCTAGTTCATCTTCAGCCCTTGAATACCACTCCGGAATAGCAATGTCCCTTCCAGGTACCCTCTGTAGCTGATATCCCAGGATTATCGCATCACGTAATCTTCTTGCACCACTTAACTGTAACATACAGAAGACCCCAACTGAAATACTTCCAACATAATTTTCTTTAAAGAAGGATTCTGCTGATAAGATTCAAAATCTTATCAAAGGATCCCATGCATACGATACTTTGCATGGCACAGTATTCCGGAAACCTAATAGTATCTAGATGAAATATGATTTACCTATTTAGATATGACATATACCTTATCTGATGCGCAATGTCTTCCAATGGCTGCCTCCTGTAAGATGTGAGCTGCAATCTAACATTTCACCAGTGTGCAAAAAGGGGAAGTTAGTTTACAGGCCGTATGAAATTCAGGAAAGGACTTAATCCATTCTCCGAATCTTAACAAGATGGAACAACTACCTCGCCACCATTGATGCCACCCTCGTAGCAAGGTTTCAAGCTAACTGCACGTTCAAGATATGGCTTCCATTGGCCCATTAATAGGTCTCTCCTAATCATCTCAACACCACATTGATAAAACTGCCCAAGAATTTGACCAGAAAATGTGAACATACAGTCCAAATATTTAAAATGATAGAACTAAGGTTATTAAGGACAAGAAAGTCAAAATGACAAGAGGAAATGGCTGAACCTCGAGCATATTTCTCAGAAAAGGTTCTTCATTGAAATAATCTCTGCGTACAAAGACAAACGGCACCTTGTACGAAAGGGCTTCACTGACTGTGCCATAACCAATTTTCCCTGAAACCATGGAAACAGCTATTATGGAAACGCAAGTAGCCGTATAATTTATTGAATATTTCTTAATCAGGTTACATACTGACCAAGCATACAGTCAGATGCAGCTATAATATCAGGCGTATAAGCATCCTTAGCAAGCTTTACAAAATTTGGTGGAAGCTCCTGGGTCTCAGATGCGCCACAAACCTGAACAACATATTAATAAGTTTAATAAACAGTACAGAATCCTCAACTTGAGAAATTACACAAACAGACGCAGGGTAACTGTTATAAGGTACCAGACACAGCCAACCAGTCGGTAGTGATTCTTCCTTCAAATTCCACCCTGAGGGCTGCACATGAGAAAAGGACAAAATAGCTGCAGATGAGCATTAGGTCTTTTGTGCAGTCCAAAATAAAGAGATTAAAGACATGAGAATGTCTATAAGATATCTTATGTCTGTAAGATATCAGTGACCAACAACGCAGATACACATTGATCATAAATCAGAGCAATGGCTTGGAGAAATTAAGAATAAAAGTCATTAAACTATCAAATGGTAACAAACGGCCAGACCTGTCCACCAAAATTGAGTATAACAACATTCACATCTTCAGCAATCCCGAGTTCTTTCCTCACCTGATCAAGGGGTAACAGATTATATTTGGATTATTTGTCCGACGGAAGATAAGATCAATGAAAAGTTGCTAACAGACCTCCTTGCGAGATTTATGAAGTCTCCTCACTACTAATGGTACGTCGATGACATCACGAAAAGCAGGCACTACGAGATAACAAGGAAATAAAGGTAAGGTGAAGAATTGAAATAACCTTTTTTTTTAACAAGCAAATGGTAATCAGAAATGCTGCATACTTGGACAATATCCTGGGAGGCGAATAAGGAACTCGCAATGAGAATAATCTTCAGCTATCTATGTCAGAGAAGAAAAGTATTAACTCCAACTAAGGAAATTCAGTATTAACCACAGTTACGTGCCAATCATAAAATTGAGTATTGACGACATCTTATTAACCAAGAAAAGATAGTATTTGCAGGTTCTACAAAAAAATTCTACCTGCCAAACGATGGAGCGATGATGATATCCAGCAGCCATCACGTACTCAGCATAGATAAAATCCCAGCTAAAAGTACATCAAGAAACAAAATTCAAATCAGAATTAACTATTGCACTATAAACATTTCCTACTAAACCAGGGGAGGTGAAAACTTGATCACAAAAACTCGACATTTTGAATGGTGGAAACAGAATTACAGTACAGTCTCTGAACGTGGACTACAACCAGGAGAAGATTTCAGGCCAAACAAGACAAACAAAAAATGGATAGTAGCACAGCAAATATGTAACCTGAAGTTGGTGACACAGACAGAACGTATCCCAGCATCAGCCGCAGCACGGCACGCGACAGGGACAACATCAGACACCTGTTTATATCAAATGTGAAAATTTCTCTTGGTAGGAAACGATGGAATACAAAGCAAGAGTCCAGAGAAAATAACGGTTGGGCTGATAAAAGTGCTGAGATTGTGAACAAAAAAAATTACCACGAAATCGGCTTTGATAGAATGAAGCCACTCCACTTCTGTTTCCAATATTGCAGCTCGAGGAACCACAGCAGTTTCGACATACTAAGCACACCAGCATCAATAACAAGGTCAAAGTTACATACAATGGAAGACCAACATGGACAAGAACCATAGAACTGATCAAATGAGTAAACCTTTTCTAACGAGGCAAGACGATCGACTGTTAATGCATCAGCTTGCACAGCTCCACAATCCAAAAGAACCTAAAAAATCGCAGTAAAACGACACATAAGAATCCCATATTTCGAGTAGCTATTAAAACCATCGCCAGAAGTAGAAGTCACTGAGTTAGAAAAACCTTTCGAATTTTTAGCCTCGGAGACTGAATTTCGGATGTGAAGACGAAATCAGGCGCACCGGTGACGACATGAACATCATGCCCCGCCGCGATCAAGTGACGAACAACCTGAAACACCACGAAATGCAACAAATTAGGCCGGATTTAACAACGATCGAACCAACGATGGAAGATAAAACAAAACGCAGGAACCACAGATGAAACCGATGCAGAGAGAGGGAGAGGGAGAGGGAACCTCGACAACACGAGTGGCGTGACCGAAACCATGTCCAGTGACGTAGTAAGCGAAGACTAGGTGCTTGCTGGAAGCAGAGACGCCTTCGTTCTCGTCAATCCTCATTTTCTTCGGCGGGAAACAGTCACTCCGGCGATCTCTGAGAGGAGAATTTGATAGTTGACTGATTCGGAGGAAGGAAGGAAGGAGGAGAAGAAGAAGGCCTAAATCTCCAGCTTTAATGGGGTTTTTTGCAAATTTGTCCGTTCGCTCATAAGATAAATCTGAATTACATCGAAATTAATTTATCAAATTAGTTTTTTTCCTCAAAAATCATTAAATTCTTTTTGGGTGCCAAACAAGGTTACGTAAACCCACTCGCAATTCGAGGAAAATGGATAGAACGAATGTCGCGTCTGTATTTATATATATGGATAAATAAATATAAACTTTATATCGATTCAAAATTGCAATATTCAAAAGTTTGGATTGCATAAATAATCGAAAGTAATAAGGTTTCTTATCTAAAACAGGACAAGACGAAAGGGAAATGAAAACTATCTAAAGATATACTAGGATTTGCCGATTTGGACGTATAACTAAAACTGATCTTATCCGCGAATATCCATAATGAATCATAATATGATCATCGTTCTTGTACTTTTAACTCAATTCAGATTTAATTTCTCAACAAAACATGAAACATTTTTCATCGTTGTAAGATCTTAATATTTGTTTAGTAAAGCTGCGTTTTCTGCAACATTTTTCAAAAATTACTATTTGCAGCGGCAAGTTTATGTGTAGAAATTAAATATAGAAATCATAGGTTACCGTTTAGCAAGTGGTACGAGTTGCGGTTGAAGATAAGATCATCATTTATTTTTATTAACTTTACCTTTGTGACGAGGCAGATGATTTCTGTGACAACCAAGAAAAGCAAATCATTTAGACCATGATTATTGAGGGTTTCTCGATGAGTTTCTAATCAATTAATAGATTTTTTTTTAATTGAAAAATAGGTTTAAGTAGAAGGAGCGATCCTAATTTAGGGATTTGAAGGATCGATCCTTCCTAGATGCGTGGCAGATTGTGATTGGTTCCAGAGTTGGAAAATTTTTTGGTTTGAGAATTTTTTTTGTCTCGAACATTTCTTCTCCTTCGTCGAGAAAGACTTTTCGACTTCTCCAATCCCTACTCGATCCCTCCTCGTGGTGTCCATCGTCGACGAGCGTCTTCCTCGACCGTGTACAATCGCATCACCGCCGCCTTCTTGTCTTCCAATCTCCTCCTGAACAGCGGCGGCGCATCACCGACTGATCTGACTGATGAGAAATTCTGAAGATTCCGATCTTCTGAATCCTTTCGTGACATGTAATTTCGTTTACCAATCTTCTTTTTATGCTTTACAAGTGATATTTGTCCCTTGTAAATTGATTTGGGTGTAGGTTTAAGGTTTGATTTTCTTTGGGGATTGATTTGGAATTCTGGATTTTGGATTTCGCTTTAGGTGTTTGGATTCGATTCTTGCATGCATATGATTCGGTTTTAGATGTTTATATATTCTTGAATCTTGAATAATCATTATCTTGAGTAAATGTTTTCTTTGTTTCATGATCTGTCTCTGAACCTTTTTTTTTTACAGTTTGGGTTCATGTGCATTGCTCTAATATGGAAGTTCGACTTTTCGCCATTCATGGTTTTGATCATTGCTATCTTAAACGATGGTGAGTTTTTTTTTCTTCTCTCTTTTAAAAACTTGTTTCTAAAAGAGAACATAGCTAACTTAACATTAATAATTACAAAACTGGAATAATCATGACTATCTCAAAGGATAGAGTTGTGCCTTCTCCTACACCAGATAGCTGGAAACTCAAAGAAATCTTCGCAACATGAATTGTCCTTGGAGGCTACATGGCTTTAATGACCGTCGTTTTCTTCTGGGCTACTTACATGGCTCGATCTCTTCGCGTCTTTGGTCAACTGTTTCAATTTGCTTGGTTTAGCTTCTCATCACGAGAACGTTGATGTCATTGTGATATGTCCATGATCTTGAAGTCGACATTCATAGATTTACATTGATCATCATTATTTTTTATATGGGATTGCCACTGGTATTATCCAAGATGTTTCTGATACTTATTGTTATGCTAAGTGATCACAAAATTCTGTTCGGAGCGTATTGCAAAGTATGCGTTCGAGTATGCCTACTTGAATAACAGGAAGAAAGTTACAGCAATGCACAAGGCCAACATCACGAAACTAGCTGATGGTTTGTTCTTGGAATTTTGCCAAGAAGTTGCTAAAAAGTACCCAAGCATCACCTACAACGAAATCATTGTCGATAACTGCTGTATGCAGCTTGTTGCAAGACCAGAGCAATTCTTCAACTCTTCCAAGTAACAATATTCTTGTCGACAAAAGTAAGAAAATGAATTGGAAAACAAAATGGATTGGATTTCTTGTCATCTTCCTTTTGATCATTTTTTTAAAGAAACCCATATCTGGTTTTACCAATAAACCAACATAAACTAAAGATTTCTTATCAAGAACTTTTTAACAAAAAATAATAATAATAAATTGCATAAGAAACTCACATGGGTTTCTGCAATAAACTAAAGGTTGAGTCAACATAGTATTTGACTGGCATGAAGATTTCTCATTGGTTTTCTGTTTCATTAAGCTTATAACGAAGGAAGATTGACTATACTTTCTGACGTAGCCTCTCTTACTTTGGGGGTGGGGGGTGGTGGTGGGGGTTTACGTTTTACTTATGTTTTGGGCTTTTCATTTCGTTTGGGCTTTCATATTTGTTTTGAAGTTCGATTCGTTTACGATTTAAAGATATAATAAGCTAAGAGCTTTGTAAGCAGGTTTGATTTTTGCTTCTTATCCTTTTGATATAGGAATCCTAATTCCACGTAATCTGGAGGTTATTTGGTGCTCATTGAGAGGTTGCTAATGATACCTCATGCAAAAACCATCGATAAACCTGCTTAAAGAACATGTTTGGAATCTTAAAACGTAAAAGAAAATTGGATATTTTATGTGGGAAGCCCTTTAAGATGCGGTGACAGTTAATTATAGAGCAACACACCTTGGGCTCCAATTATTTCTCCTTCATCAAATTTGTTGGAGAATATAGAGCAACTCTTTGGAAAATCTCATAAAAAGTATACAGAAAATTATATTTTTGTGGTGTATACAGAAAGTAAAGAATTCAAAAAATTTGTCTCTTTTCAGAGATATCCGATAAAATTGGAACGATATAAAAAAGATTAATATGGCCTCTGCGTAAAGATAACACACAAATCGAGAAATAATCCAAATTTATTTTTATTTTAACTTTTAAGTGTTTTAAACCAAGTGGTGGTAGTGGGTGGTTCCTTTCTTTGGTGAGAGTTGCTCTGTTGGTTTAGACCAGGAATCAACTTCCCGTAGAAACAGAATTACAACATTTAATTAATTTGGCCATCGGGGCATTCACAAAGTTTCTCCGAACTCCAGGATTAGTCGGTGTTGGAGAGATGATACGGTGGTGTATAATCCAGATTTATAATCTTTAGCTGCGCTGCCGGCAGTCCCTTAATTTAGCCGGAATAACTGAATTATAAAAAAAAAAAATGTCAAAAAGTTTGAGTGGTGTTGATTTCTCTCACATATGAATAGTTGGACACATTAGATCTCGCCGTAAGAGTGTAACGCGTAGTTTGTAGCTAATGGTACAAATGATATGACATCTGAAAATTTACAATCTGGAAAAAAAAAATTATGGTTGAAACAACAAAATGTTCTAGTTTACAAGAGAGTCGTCGCGTATTTCTTTTTTTTTTCTTTTGCTAAATGCGTCGCGTATTTCTTAGAATTACATTAGCGTGTTTACCAAAAAAAAAGGTTTCTTACGTCAGCGTATTTCCGTTATGTTTATAGTTAGTGACAAACTCGTTATATTTGTCTCCATATGGTATAAAATCAGGATGATTAGCCCTTTTTTTGCAAAAATCAGTGAATTGACGATCATTTGTGAGTTTTCCACATATGTTCGCTCTAATTCATGAACCTCGTAAAGTATATATCAAAACGGATCTACTAGGATTGTTCGTTAGAAGATTTCATATTTAACACTTATCTTCTTTATTCGTTTTCCTTTATTTTTTCCGTCGGATCTTCTTCATTTGTATACTAATGCAACCAATGTATTTGTCTAATAAATAAAAAAGTGGTTTGAGTTTCAGAAAAAAAAAAAAAAAAAAACTCAAAGGAGACAAGAAAATTCTAATCGAGGCTCTTTTGGAAATTTGAATTTGCAATACGCACATTTCATTACAGCTCATCTCAAACTCACTAACGCGGTCGCTTTATGGATCCATCATCTCTTTAACCTTTCTCTCCTCTCTCAGTTTTGAAAATTTTCAAATTCAAAACAAACAGCTTCTCTTCTTACTAAGAAAATAGATTCTTAGGGTTCAATGGATTTGAGTCGTACTAACTCAACCATTCATCGGTTACTTCTACTCTCCGTCCTCGTCGCCACGATTCCCCTGACGGCGTCTCAATCCGAACCCAATACATCCCCTGCGTCACCGTCTCCGCCTCCTGATTCCGATCTATGCAACGGCGTGTTCGTTTCGTACACTCACACCAAGGGATCTAAGATCCCACCCACCGACTCAACCAATCAGCCGTACCGGTTCGAATCTCTCATCACTGTGCTCAACAACGGCCACGACGAGCTCAAATCATGGCGCGTCTTCGTCAAATTCGCCCACCGCGAGATTCTCGTCTCCGCCTCCAACGCCGTGCTCTCCGACGGCTCGAGCCTCCCGGCGAGAGTCGGGAACGGCACCGTATTCGCCGGTTATCCGTCGTCGGATTTGAAGTCGGCTATTCAGACGGCCGGTGACGTCACCCAGATGCAAGCGCGTGTCGAGCTCGTCGGGACGCAGTTCGGAGTGGCGCCGCCGAATGTGCCGCTTCCTACGAATCTCACTCTCGCTACTGATGGATGGAAGTGTCCCAAAGCCACCCAAAAAGGTTTTTAACAAAAAAATACTCAATGACATCATCTTAGTTTCCAAGAGTTTGGTATCTCAAAGCTCCAAGGTTCCTTGATTTATGGCTAGAATTTTATAGTAATTTAAGCTCTGATTTGGCTGATCTTGGTTTGCTATATTTAGGAGTTGGGTTTACTGATCTTGGTTTGTGATATGTTAAGGATGAAGTATCTAGTGGTAGATCCCTATAATCAAGGAGAAAGTTATGCAATGCTTAGATTACTAGAGAGAGTCAAACTCCAGCAATAATCGCTTTGTTTAGATCCCATGTGCTCACTCGTGGAAAAAGTCTTGATTGTTTTGTTTAGCTTCTTATTTTACACCTAACGTTTGAATTAGTCAAATGTAATGTGGAGTCTGTATTGGATTCTTATCACATTGGATTCTTTGTGACTGATCAAGACTCAAGGGTAATCATCGGAGCCTTAAGAATTTGAGGTGATAGAATATGAATTGATCCACTTTAAGCACATATTCTAAATATGAATCTGTTGATGAAAGATATTTCTTGACGTGGGAGAGTTAATCTTTTCAATTGATTCTAGGAATCGTTTTGTATTGTGGTGTGCTGCAAAGCATAAGTAAGTTTGAAGGGTGTTGTTCTTTTTGACTATTGCTTTCTTTGTGGTTTACTTGCAATTTTTCTATGTTTTGCCAGGTAAAAATGTTCTGCAAGTATGTTGTATGCCGGATCCAGACTATGAAAACTCAGACATCATTGATAATAAGTTCCTTCCTCGAAAAAATGGAGATCTCACTATCATGTACGATGTGATCGGATCATCTGCATCAGATTATCTGGCACAAGTCACCATGGAGAACCATAACCCGCTTGGCCGGCTGGATAACTGGAAACTAAGTTTTGACTGGATGCGAGATGAGTTTATCAACACCATGAAAGGTGCTTACCCGAGTCTTGTTGATTCATCAGGTTGTATCAATGGCCCACAAGCCAAGTACTATCAAGGTCTTGAATTCTCCAAAGTGTTAAGCTGTGCAAGACGGCCAACCATCATTGACCTCCCTCTTACGAAATATAATGATACTGAGTATGGCCGTATCCCATTTTGCTGTAGAAACGGGACGATTCTGCCACGGTCTATGGATCCTAGCAAGTCGATCTCATCTTTCCAGATGCAGGTGTACAAAATGCCTCCTGATCTTAACATCTCTGCTCTTTCACCTCCTCAGAACTGGCGTATCAACGGTACACTTAACCCGGACTACAAGTGTGGCCCTCCTGTTCGAGTGAGCCCGAGCCAGTTCATTGATCCTAGTGGATTACCTTCGAACAGAACAGCTTTCGCGAGCTGGCAGGTGGTCTGTAACATCACCGAGCCAAAAGACGCGACTCCAAAATGCTGTGTATCGTTCTCTGCCTACTTCAATGACTCGATCATACCATGCAAGACTTGCGCTTGTGGGTGTTCAAGCAACAAAGCGGCTCGCACGTGCAGCACAACCACCCCGGCTCTTCTTCTCCCTCAACAAGCTCTCCTGGTTCCATTCGAGAACCGAACCGAACTTACCGTGACTTGGTCTATTCTAAAACACCGGCCCGTGCCAAACCCAATGCCTTGTGGGGATAACTGTGGAGTTAGCATCAACTGGCACTTGGCTACTGACTACCGAGGCGGGTGGACAGCTCGGATCACAGTCTTTAACTGGGGAGAAACAAACTTTGCAGATTGGTTTACTGCTTTTCAGATGAAAAACGCTGCACCAGGTTTCGAGAAAGCTTACTCGTTCAACGCAAGTACACTTGGTATCAACGGGGAGAACAATACTATCTTCATGGAGGGTCTTCCCGGATTGAACTATCTCGTAGCAGAAAGAGACGGTGACAATCCTTTGAAGAACCCTAGGGTTCCTGGGAAACAACAGTCCGTTGTTTCCTTCACCAAGAAACTGACTCCGGGAATCAATGTCCGTGGAGGAGATGGCTTCCCGAGCAAAGTGTTCTTCAACGGTGAGGAGTGTTCTCTCCCATCTATACTGCCAACGAGCAACGGCCACCAATGGAGACATATCTCTGCTTTCCTCCTGGCATTACCGGTTTTGGTTCTCTTGCTTCTCCGGGTGTAGCTGTATTGAAGCCTCCTGTGATGGGTTGACGATACAGTTTCTTGATTGTTTCCCGGTTTACTTGAAAACCGGCCAGATCTGTGGTTTTTTTGGAATAGAGAATCAAATCGATTCTTTTTCAGCTGGTGGTGTGTTGGAAAAGAAGCTAATATATAGTGCTATGAAGATATGTTTACCATTCTTGTATTAGAGTTTCAGTATGTATACTTATATACTCTTTCTCGGTCATTGATTTGTTCTGAATCCTCCATACCGGTCCGGTATCCATACAATTTCACAAACGACCGAACCAATCTAAGAAGCAGTAGCAAAAAACTGTCAAGACTGTATATTGTGGATTCATTCATTGATGATCGGATTATTACCGTATCTTTATTATTATGAAGAAACAAACGCATAAGAAAAATATTTACACAAATGTTCCTAAAACTCAATGAAGAGAAGCAAAAACATTGCTAATTTGTTGCAAATTAGACGATCAAGAACCCTATATGTCCTCAGTCTTTATGTAGGAGACTCAGGACAAAAATACAAAATATCTCCAAGAAATTCACATTACTCCTAATAACCAGAAAAAGAAGAAGTAACTATTGGTTTCTATAATCTGCTTTTGACGATCAAGAACCCTAAATTGTAGCAAGTCTTTATTTACTCAAGTCATTGTATTTGCCAAATAGTTACTGGATGGATATTCATGGTTTTGAACCATAGTTTGCAGGATTTTGAATCATATGAATTATTACAGAAAACAAAACAAATTCATAACCAATCATAAAGTTTGGATAGAACTAAAATTCACAAAATATAATATAAAAGACAAAATATCTACTGAATAGTATCACATGATGGTAGTGGTGGCTGATCAGGTGGAGGCAGCAACGGAGGCGGGAGCGGGAGCGGGAGTGGGTGCAGGGGTGTGGGCAGGAGTGGGGGCGGAGAGGGGGCGGAGACAGGGCCGGGAGTGGGGGCGGAGATGGGGGCGAAAGTGGGGGCGGGGCCGAGGGTGGGAGCGGAGGTGGGAGTAGGGGCTGAAGCGGAAGCGGGAGCGGGAGCCGATGAGGAGGAAGATCCTGTAAAAGGTGGCAAAAACGGTGCAGGAGCAACAGGAGCGTGTGGTGAGAAGAACCACACTAGGAACCACACGTATGGTGTCGACATCAGAAGAGTGGCCTGACTTATATCTGGAATAGAGTAGATTGTGAATGTAAAAAAGCTTTCACATTTTTTTCCATTTTACACATTTCATGCACGAAGAATATAAAAGCGGACAACTTAACATGCAGTGTATGACTCTATTTCGATTACCATTTTAGGTATTTAAACTGCTGAAAAAAAAATTTGTTTGACATTTGTTAAAATCTAACTGTAAAAAAGTAGCTGAGTTAAATACAGTTTTTTCATTTTTAATTTTTTGAATAATTTTAAATTTAAATCTAACATCTCATTAATTAGATGTGAAAGTCCCTTGCGGTAGTTATAATCAAGAATTATTAATGTTTTTACACTACAAAGCTTCAAATTTGATTCTCGGAGAATATAAACTAATGAGGAGAAATATTTCCAACATAGTACAATAAACCTGTCAAGATAAAACTCTCAATCACAAGCATGACGCAAGTAAACCTAGAGAAAAAGAAAACTAAATTAGAAAATGTTTTATGCATATCAAAATCTAATTGGAAGAAATCCTTTTTATACGTGTCAAAGTAGGATTAACTTGCTAATATGTACATGATCATGTTAATGAAATTAAGAGAAATCATACTTATTATATAAGATAACATTTTCAAAGTGTGTTTCTTTTAGGACCCAGTCGCCAAACATATTGTTGGAACTATTTTTTATAAAACTTGCGGGCTTATAAAATTGTTTACGTATGAATTGAAATAAAATTTTATGGTTCAGTAGAAAAGCCTTGTAATAAAAGAAATAGACTTGTAATAAAAGAAATAACATTGTAAAAAAAAAAGAAAACCTTATAATTTCATAAATTTATTTCATAGATATCGTTTATAATTTCATAAATTTACTTCGTGATTTCAATTCGGATTTTTGCAGTATAACACATATAACTTGAATAATCGGCTAAATAAATATAAAATGGGATTTCTAGTTCAGTTAGTAAAAGCTGCATGCCGAAACTTAAAGGTTAAGAGGTTGATCTGTTGACATTCTTCATTCTCTCTTATTAACTCACTCAGGTTTGTTTGAGAAACTCTCTTGTTCTCACTCTTTTCTCACTCTTTTTTGTTTCTCCTTCTTTTCTCACTCTCTCTCTCTCTTTCTCTCTAATTCTCTTGCTCAGTTTCACTCATTGTTTTGGTTGTTTGATCTCTAAGTGAAAACAAAAAGAGAAAACATTAAAGACGCTATATATATATAGGTGCTATGTTGGAAAAGAAGCTATATATAATAGGTGCTATGAAGATATGTTTACCATTCTTGTATTGTTTCTGATTAGAGTATGTATACTTAATATACTCTTTCTCGGTCATTGATTTGTCCCTAGTCCTCCATACCGGTATCCATACAAGTTCACAAACGACCGAACCAATCTAAGAGTAGCAAGAAACTGTCAAGCCTGTGTTTTGTAGATTCATTCATTGATGATCGGATTAGCACCGTATCTTTTATTATTATGAAGCAACAAACGCATAAGAAACATATTTACACAAATGTTCCTAAAACTCAATGTAAGACTCGGGACAAAAATACAAAATATCTCCAAGAAATTCACATTACTCCTAATAACCAGGAAAAAGAAGAAGTAATTATTGGTTTCTATAATCTGCTTTTGAATTTCCTGCAGATTATATATCATCTAAAGATACAACACACAAGCCGTTCTATATCTCCCTTTGATTATGGCCATTTGTAGTCTCTTTCTACAAAGAATCTTGCAGTCTACTCTTAGAGTATCTGAGGTCAGACCGGAATGTTATCGATGGAGTATCCGTCAAAATCGAACTCCGATGGAATACCTTCCTGCATTTGATAAAAGTAAGTGCCAAGCTTCAAATGCAAAGTTTGTTTTATAATAACTTAGGCTTTGTGTATAGAAACGAGAACCTGCTTGAGAAGAGCGCTCAAGAGATCTTCTTGATTATACTGCTCGTGAAACATTGTTATTGCAGGAGGACAAGTCACGGTCTCCGCCACTCTCTCTGACTTCACTCTAACCGAGCCACCACCATTCATGTAAACCTGGTTCATGTGATTCAGACTCCGGTTTAGCGGCTGATGTTGCTGCTCCGTTAACTCTGCTTCCTGCCTTTTTCTCTGAGTGGAAGACGAAGAGTACGCTTCCGAAGTTGAAAAAGCGGATGTGTCCTGATGAGTATTGTAGACCAAACCGATATTCCGCAGATCCCAATCGTTCCGCTTGTTGTTGTTGTTGTTTTGCTGAGGAAACTCGCTGAATATGTCGTAGCTCGGGTTACCAAACCCTGTAGCAGCTAATGAACCGCCTTTAGCGTCTGAGCTGTTGACCTCTTCTTGGCAAGAAACAGACACAGGAATCGATATCCCCGGGGCACTTGCCAAAGGGAAGCTGTTAAAGACCGAATGTGTAGTGGCTGGTAACACTCGGCTGCTGGCCACAGCATCAGTGAGATCACTTCTCCTTGAAACGCTGCTTGACAACATCGGCTGTTGCCGGAGAGACGGTAACATCGCTGGCCCTCCTCGAGGTAGCTGATCCGCTACAGGCATCAGCATTCCACTACTCTGAACATTTTGCTGCACGCGCATGTGACTGCCTGTGAATTGTTTCGGTTCCATTCCCGTTGGGACACCGTGAAGCAGATTCATCTGCTTGTTATTACCAACAAGGTTCATGGTCTGTCTTGTTTTCGGGTTCTCGAAGCTGAAGATGCTTCTTTGATCTGCAAGAGGTGGAACAGACATCCCCGGTTTAGTGAGTGAAGACCGGCCATGGCCAGCTGCTTGAAGATGTGCGAGGCTCTGACCAGCAACAGCTAAAGCTTGAAGATCAAATCCATTCAACGTAGAAAGAGGATCTTGAACATTCATAAACGAATGGTTCATATTACCACCCTGGTGCTGTGATACTCCTCCAAGCCGTCTTAGATATATCCTGTACTTCTGCAATTCCACAATGTCCCCAAATCTTAGCACACATTAACAACAGAGAATGTGATAGTGATACTATATTTAAGTCACATATCTACCTGGAGGTGACTGGCTACGTTTTCTCGTGTTAGCCCTGGTACATTCATCATCTCTAAGATCTTCTTAGGAACCGCTTCTGCATTATATGTTAAAGATTAGACCTTAAAACTAACATTTGCACACACAAAATGCATAAGCAAAACAAGTTTATTTCTTCTCTCTTACTGTCAACACCGAGCTGATTCACAGCAGCAACAAACTGTTGATGCAACTCAACAGACCAAACCACACGTGGTTTCTTCAAGCTCGACGTGTCCTCTTTATCTTCTCCCTGTTCTTCTACTTCCTCTTCTTTCCTCTTCCTCGAGCTCCTCCAATTCCCTTCATTAGCAGAAGACGAGTTGTTATCAGCATCATTCCTCTGCTGTTGCCTGTCTCCTCCACCAACATCTTCAACACTTCCTGAATGTTCTGAAACGTTTCTCTTCTTCCTCACCACATGCTGCCATATATTCTTCAGAGCCTCGATACGTACTGGTTTGATTAGGTAATCCACTGCACCGTGAGTCACTCCTTGCAACACAACGCTCTTTGAATCATCCGCAGACATCACTAAAACCAAAATGGTTTTCAAAATGTTTCAGATCTCAAGAGAATGATAAAAATCGATTGAGATGTTTTAAGGGGTGAATATAAACTTACTGATAACAGGTAAATCCATCTCTAGACCAACGTGTTCGAGGAGCTTGAAGCCATCCATGTCAGGCATATGAACATCGCTGATGACAATATCGAAACCATTCTTGTTTTTACGGAGCATAGACAATGCGATCTCTGCTCTGTTACATTTCGTTACTGTTCAAAAACAAAAACAGAATCAGAGTAAAAAACAGAAAACTTTAGTCAAAGTATAGCACCAAAGACAAAAATTTAAAGAACGAGAATAGACAAAACTACATTAAAATCGATCAAATGAAATACCAGAATCCCCAAGTTTTGATCTTTTCGACAAAATTTCAGAAATTTCAATCACACTCGTCTTGAGAACTAAGAGATCTCTTGAAATAAAACCTCAAATGAAGAATCTTTATAACCTGATCACTTAATGATTTGGAACACAACACTGAACTTATATAACTCTTGAATCTAACAGTGATTCAAACACTTGGTGAAAAAATTTCTAGTCAAATTCAAAGATCGTTTTTCTATATTTGGCATAGTCAACCACCGTATTAATAACCATAATTATCCACAAAATTTTACAAAAAAAAAATCCGCAAATTGGACCAGAAGAACTATTTAAATCATCAAGAAAGACCATACAGCCTTTGAGATTAGATATACATTCAGATTAAAAGTTAAAAAACGAAATTTTGGAAATCGTACCTCTGTAGAGACAATTCATGAGCATCCTCTCTAAGATCTTAAGACAAGTTTTGTCATCGTCGACGACGAGAACTCGAAGACCCGCCGGAAACGGGTCAGAGTTCGACGACCCACCAACAACACTCGAATCGGGTCCTCTTCCGTGACCCGGATTTATCATCTCTTGTCCAATAAAGCGAAAGAAGAGACACAAAAGCTTGAACAATAAGAGAATATATGCCTAGAAACCCAAAACAAAAGTGGAATTGACGTGGTTTTGATTCGAAAGATTGGAGATGACAAACAAAAAAGTAAGAAAATTTTGATACCAAGATGATGAGAATTAGGAAAAAAAAATTGATAATTTTGCGGGTAAATTTTGAAAAAAATAAGTGGAAAGAAAGATTTATGCTTGGGTGAGATGAGATGTGAGAGTTGAAGAAAGCATGGCTTTGTCTCTCAGCTTCAAGCTCGATTTCTCTGTTTACAGATTTTTTTTTTTCTTTTTCTTTTAAGAGGTTCTGTTCTGTAAAATAATTTTTAAATTTAAATCTGAAAATATATGGAAATGTTTATACAGTATTATTTTAAGTTATATATACACGTCTCTGTCGTATATACGTTGTGCAGAGATGCCCCTTTATTTTTTTTTAACTCTTCTCCAGATATATTAGATCATATGTACCTTTGGCAACTTTACTTTCTTTATATTCTTTCTCAAAATGCATCATCTTATAAATTCACTAACATAAATCCAAAAACCCGGTGAAGATCTCTGATTGAAACCTGTATTTATACCTGATATTATTTGTAAACCAAGAAAAACAAATAATTTTGTTAATCAAGACATTTACAACAATCAAAGAAAAACAACAACAATATATGTAGATAACATCATTGGAATTACAATTTTGATCTATATGACAAATCCTCTTACCTATTTTAAGAAACTAGAAGATCTTTTATTCTTGGTCATATAACACCAAACAAACTTAAATAGACTATTGAAATATAATTGAGGTACAACGTACAAATGATTGTTATTTATTTATTTATGTTTAAGAGAAATCGATCGATGTTTAGTTAAATTAGTTATATTCAAAATTTGCTTCTTTTAACTTTTTAACTTACTTCTATGATTTTTATGTGTAAATATGTAACTTATAGTGTATTTTTAAAATAAATACGGAGATTGCATTGTCTAACGTATATATATGAATTTGCTTTTTTTCTTTTCTTTTTTTGAATATGTTTTTTCTATGTTGTTCAAATTTTTATGCAGAACTGATAAATAATATCTGTTGCAAAACATAGCACAACACAATTGATACGATATAACGTTTGAATATAGTCTTTTGTTGTCGTTGCTCATGTTATTGTTATGTCAGATGATCTTACAGCACGTCAAATGAAATTTACTCTATACAGAAGGAAAAAACTAATGATAATGTCGTATCCGTAGAGCTCAAAATATGGGTAATTTTGGTAAGATATCAAAATATGTGAGGTTGATGTTATATTATTTTAAAACTTTGGGGTACGGAACTTATAATAATTGAGAGAAAAGTGGGTCCAGAGACCCTTGATGCGTGGATACAGCTCATACATGAAAACATAAATTAACTTATTTTATAAATCTAACCTTAACAAATTATATTATCATTATTATTGTTCTCCAATCTTTTTGCTTTGTTGGAAAAAATAAAATCTTTTTGCTTTTAGGGCCTATTTTCTTGCATCATCTTACAGTTTGCTAGAATTATAGTCGATTTTATTATAAATAATAAGCCATGCCATCTATCTTAATAACTTATGAGTCTGTGACCTACATGCATTAAATTAATGGCCAAAATACATATATAATATAAGCTTTCATTAGATGGAACATAATAATACAACAACGCACATTCAAGCATATGATTAAGGCAACGCATTCTCTAAAAACAGTACTACATGTACACACAACCACGTATATGTGTAGAATATTTTCGTGGTTGTATAACACAATTAACTCTGAAACAAGCATGTACATTTTTTAAAAAAAAAAACATGCATATACATTTTATCAAAGAAAATGCTCGATTAACCAACTGCTTATTGCCAATGCTTTAAATATTACTAATAATTCCTAATTTTTCCCTATAATTAATAACTAAAATTTAATATTAGCTAGTTAGATTTATATGCCTAAATTAAACTAATTGAACGTTAAAGTTTTTTTTTTGTTAAAAATTGTTTTGTTCGATTCAATTCGATATATCAAACATCATCCAACTTTCTTTTTAAAACTTTTTGTTATTAAGCTAGAATAGCAAAACAAACAAAAAAGTTCACAAATGCATTGCCACTATATGGTCAAAACTTAAAATAAAAATAAGAAACTTAAGAGATGCATATCACATATGTTTTTTTTTTTTGAACATTTGCAGACAAGGTTTGAATATCACATTTGTTTAACGTACGTGTCCAATAACATTGGGAAAAGTGGCGGCAACGCACTATGTGACTTTGGTAAGTGATATTGGTGGATCTCCTCCCATGTTTGCTTTCCACTACAAAACTCATGAGCCCTTTTCTTCAACCACAATGTCAAAATATCTAGTTACATTTTTTATAAATTATCCATACATATTGGAATACAACTTGGTAGGAGTGATAAGAAGACGACGAACATGTTCCAATATATGCATGGAGGGCAAATGTTGAGATTATATAAATTAAGCTTTGCAAGTATGATTATATATAAGCGTAATTGTTATCCACTATTTGAAAATGATTTGTTTCTGGCCACTAAAAACATCTACAGATTAATTTTCTTGTCACTAAAATATATACGTATAGCTTTTCTTGCCACTAAAAACATTCACATATAAAAAAATGATCAAAAATGGCACTAAAAAAGTTGTACGCTACTTAAAAAACATTCAAAATACTTAAATCACAACCGAGTGGTTAACCATTACGATCATCTTAATTAAATCTATGTAAGGAAATTGTATCCGATTCTTCCTATTATTTCTCCAAGAGATTTATGTGTTGGTTATTTGTTGTTAATAACTCATTTATCTATAAAATTAATATTATTTGGTAATTGATAGAGGTGTTGATGCGATTTTATTCTGTTATTATCAAGGTTGTTATTAAAACAACTCAAAGTTAGTGACCACAAAATTAATAGTTGTTGTAATGTCTATTTTGGGGGAGGAGCTTCCCCGTGATGAAACGTGTCGATGGTAAGTGGGGATAAGAATAATCAAAACATTATATGAAAATTAAGTGTCACATGTGAATCCAGCCACCACTTTAGCCAATTGAAACCATCTTTGACCCAACTTTTTGGTGGATATTGACGTTATTTGCAATTATCGAGCTGACCTCTCTATCTATATATGGGGCCATGGGCAATCGGTTTAATCAGATACTTGGTCCGGTTTTTCCAGTTCGTCGAATTTTTGTCTGAAAACAATCTTACGAAAATTAACCAAGACGTTTGGTTTGGTTCGGTTTGGAAAGAGTTAAATTTGTTTCGTTTTGTGTATCAACAATTATCGTCGAGTGGAATCAAATTTGTTTGTTCGTGTTTCAAATATTTAAAACATTTTTGAAAAAAACAATATGAGTTAGCTCAATAGATATGTAGATTGAGTTTTATTTTTGTCAATCTAAAACGAATAAATAGATAAAGAGGCATCCATATTATTAACACAAGTGTGGTTGAACCAATTTTTTTTATTTATTAACACAAGAGTTGGCGATTGATAATTGAGTGAGCCAAGATAACCAGATGTGAGAGAGAATCAATATCACTGTGATTAAATTATTTTTTTGGTCAAGAATCACTGTAATAAATTTAAATCTTATAAATGAGAGAATAAATAATGGTAGTTAAATTTTGAGGTGTAATGGTCTGTCCGAAGAAAAGAGGACGTACGTAACGTAGCTATCAAAAGAATGACAATTATTGTACGCAACTCTTCAAGGACAAAATATACCATGTACAGTATAATAAACCAAAGAAAAAAATGCATCAGAAAATGAGAAAAAATATAAAGGGTAATGAAAATATGCTCTCGTTGAGAGTCGAACTCAAGACCTCCCGCTTACTAAACGGGTGCTCTAACCAACTGAGCTACGAGAGCTTCTTGATATGGACATTCATAAAACAAAATAGTAATAGATATGTAATGTAATCAACTATACATTCATACGATTTCCTCAGCATTATACAAGATCTGCACTGAAAACAAAACTACAAAGCAATCACATGAACGGAAAAGAAGCTCTCTCTTTTACTCTTCCAAATCTGTAACAATTACATAACAAAGCCTCCATAGTAACATAACAAATGTGTACTATCATCACCGTCTATACATATTCTCCTTTCTTTTCAAAAACAAACAAAAGTAGCTTAAAAACGTTTCACTTTTGCTATATATCACTCCTTATTTATTAGTTCAGATCTTGGAAATGACTATAAATTTTCATCTCCACGCCGAACCATTATGCGTTACGAAATGTCTAAAGTCCGGTAACATGACCTTCAACCGCCTCAGCCACTCTTCAGCTGCTCGTAGCAAAGTCCCCACTCTCTGGTTCTCCTCCACATCACTCTCTGGACTCCACACCGACATCTTAAACTTGTAAGAAGCCAGACCAAAAGAGGGCAATGGAAGCTTCGATGGTGCAGCCGATTTGCTTGAGCTTTGACTGTCCTCATTGCTTGTACCTTGCAAAATAATATAAGAGTGATTTGTGAAGCTTTTATAAGCTTGTTTTTAGAAAACGTTTTATAATGTATGCAGAGATGGCTTACCTCGAGAGGGTGTTGATAAGGAGTGGAATGTTAAGAAGCAAGCGTCGAGGTTTTGTAATGATTGACCTAATGGTATACGGTATATCGGGTACCTTCATGAAAGTGAGGAAAAAAAAAAAACTATTTAGAGAGAGAGAGAGAGATCTGGAAAAAGAAACTCGTGAAAATGTGTGAAATGACGGGTTGGATAGAGTACCAAGCAACAGAGACCCAACTCGAAGGCGATAGATCACAGCTCCTGTATGTTCTGAGTGCTGGAAATTGTGATGATAGGTTTGAGATCTGCATTTTTAAGGTTATAAATAATTATGAGACAGAAAATAACGTTCTTAACACTATGCGAATATAACATGTTAATCGAGGCCGGTCCAATTTTTGTTCCAATTTATAAGCAGAGATAATAAACTTGCCTTGTCGGTCAATGGTTCCCGGCCAAATGGCATAGCAGCCTCAAGATACTCAAAGACGAGGTCACCAGGAGAGTTACTGCCGACTTCACTCTCATCACTCGAAGAACCAACGAATGGCTTCTCTTCCAAAGAGACTCTGTATAAGTTCTGAGATATGTCTCTACAGTCATTGCTGCCATCGCTACTCATGCCTCTAGGCGAATCACCATCACTTTCCTCGCCAGCTCTCCTGTTAACACACATTTAAAAAAAAAAAACAGTCTTTTATAAATCTACAAGGCAGAAACCAATTGAGAATTAAGAGAGAGCCAAATAACGCAGTCCACTGACTAATGTTGAGGGCGTGAAAAGTGTTGTGTTTTAGTCACCCGAATGAACATCTCTAGGGAATCTAGCATAGAACAGTTTTAGAAGTTGGTTTTTTCCCTATCAGACTAAATAACAAGCGTTCAAACAATAAGAACAACCAAGGAAAAGATGTGGCTTCATTTCCGAACATAACTGACAAAAATCAACTTGCCTACTTCAGTTCCTCACGAGCAGAGAACCAGATCACTCATAAATGATATGAATCATATGGATATAAGCAAAATGATGGGGAAGAAAACTTACCTCCTACTTGTGCAGGCTCTAGATGGGTCTTCATAAAGCTGAATGCCAGAGAGATAAGGAACATAATACTGAACAACCGAATCGATCCCGTTTAAGAGAAGAGGAACACCGACACCATAGGCGCTCCACTCCTCGAATGAATCCCACAAATCATTCAGCAAGAAATAGGGACAATGCTCTGGCTCGCGGGTTCTCCACCCCTTGATGCTTGTCTGAAGCAATATAACACAAACTATTAGTGAGCACACAAAAAGCATCATACTTGTAATTCTAAATTTCTAGCTTAACATGTTTCTAATTCTGCCCAATAATCCTAAACACACGGGATATTTCTAAAACCTGAAACCCAATGTTAACATTTCTGATTCGTATCTGTGAAGCTTCCCCCAAAATGAAATTTTGAACAAAACCCAAGTCTTCGATTCAAAAATCGGAGTATTACCATAGGCAAGTATTGGGTATGAACAACGGGGGTGGTGCACTCCAGAAACCGACCCAAATTTGACGAACTTTCGGTGGTGGTGGTGGTGGTGGAGACCCGACCCGGAACGGAGCAATCGGAGGTCGAGCACTCATCAGGCGATCCAGCAACGGATAAGGTTCGATTCATCTCCTTCTCCGACGAAGAAGACGGCGTAATCTGTGTTCGATCGAGCATCTCCTTGGCCTTCCTCTTCTCTTCCTCCTCTTCTTCAAGTCTCTTCTTCTCCCGCTCCTGTTGCCGTTTCCTCATCGGAGGTGGGTTGTAAAATCGATTCTCGCCGCCGCGGAATCTACGGGTAGTCGACATTCTTAGTAGTTGCGGTGGTGTGTAGATGCTTGAGTATCTATTCTTCGTCTTCTTCTTCTTCTTCGGTCTCACGCAGTTTGAAAAAGGGGTGATGTTAGGGTTTTAGACTTTTTTAGTGAATTAAGAGAGAGCAGTCAAAGATGTTTATGTTGATGATGAGATTTGATTGATTCTGTGTTTTTGATGGATTATTACTGTAATTAAAACGGTAACGCGTTTAATTCGTGCGAATTAATACGAGTATTATGTTGTACAACATAATTAGTGCTCTGTTTACTTCTTTTCCTTGGGCTTTGTGGGCTCTGCGGTTCCAACTTCCAACATCTATTTATTTCATTAATGAATGATTTTAATACACAATCAAGTGTTCAAGTAATTACAGGATTAATTGAGATTGGAACATAAAAATGAGACATGAATCAAACTATGTTATGGTAATGACTCCAACTTCGACAAAATCTTTGCAGTTTGCAGCTTTGTTTGATTTATATTGGAATCCAACGGAGTATAACTTCTTCAAACCGGGACTTCCACAATAAGATCTACTTTTGATCGCCAAAATGTGCGCATTTTTGACAATATCCTTTGACCATAAATCATGCATAGCCCCACCAACAAAGCTTGAGATTGAGGAGGCAATGGTGTAAATGTTTTAACTCCCTTTGGCTCCCAAGAAAAAAACCCTCGATCATCTCGGTAAATCCAGCCTGTTTGAGCATATATCTATCTTTTTGTTATAAAAACTTCCATCAAAGTTGCATTTTATCAATCCTTTGATCTGATCGTTTCCACTTGGATGTTTGGTGCAAGTATCGGTTCTGATCTTAGCTGTGCCGGACCAATCAATTTGGATGTCCGCGTCTAACTTTTTAAAATATATCTTTTTATATTTTTTTCAAAATTAAAATAATAAAAAAATGAAACAAGAACTTCATAAAACAATTAATCTATAAATAGTTTGTAAGAAAAGAAAAAGAAAAAAATTTAATAAAACATATAGTTTATTGCTGAAATATAAATCTTCTTGCATTTTTCCGTGTAGAATCGTTAATTAAATTGTCGTAATCGAGTTCTTCAACCATAATTGTCTCAATTGATAACAAAACTAACCCATTTTACGGTACAGTTTTTTTATTAGACTAAATTTGGGTTTTCTTTTATCTAATGGGTTTGAGAGTCAGGTTTTCGGGACTATAAATATAAGGGTTTGTAATTATTCATTAACACAATTAATAAAAAAGCCTTAAACGTGTGTTTGCTTCAATTTACGATTTCTCTCTATTATTTATTATTTTTTCGTGCTTGATACTTTTTGAACGGTTCAAACCTGGACTCTAGAGAAATTAGAGTTTGATCTCTAATAATTTTTTTTCTAACAAAAATATACCTTTTTATAGTAGATACCGTAAAAAAATATGTCTTCGGTCGCCTTCCTCGCCTTCACTCAGGACCGGGCCTGGATCTTAAACTAGACGATCCTCTCTTTGTCAGTGATAAGTTAGCTATTCATTAGAATAGTTATTCTTAATTGTTTTCGTCTTAGTAATCTTTAATGGTAAAGAATCTTGAAATCCGAAAACAATTACCCATTTAAAGTAAGGATATTTGACTAAGCTAGGAAACAAAAGACTCTGAATAAATGCATTCATTAAAACTAACACTTAAAAAGAAAAGAAGAAGGAAACTACACCTTCTCCTGAGTAGTGATTGTAATCTAAAGCAGTTTAATTGTCCAACACAAAGCTATTATAAATTTACACTAACAACCAAATGACTCAACTACCTTAAACTGTCATTCTTCATTCTTTTTTTCTTTTACCTTTGCATCTGATCTGACCCAGCCGCAGAGGAACTCGAAGGCCGTCCATTCTCAGTCCCTGCTTTATCTGCAACGCCCCATCTTCTAAAAGGTTCTGGGGTTTCTATCACTTTAACCGATCCATCTGAGAGTCCAACAGCTACTTGATTTGATTCTTGAGGATGAGCTGTGATCACCAGCGGCATGATCGGAGCACTGTTGCAGAAACAAATAAAAGATTTTGTCAGAACAATTGCTTCCGAGTTAGATATACAATAAACTTCATGTGGAACTAGTTTTCTTTTTTAAGGGTTTAACAAACCTGTTAGGTGTGGGTTGGGGCATATAGGCTGACGGGGAAATGCGACATCTCAGTCTCAAGTATTCAGCATCAAATACTCCGATGTTTCCATCTGCAAATGACGCATAAACCAGTTGGCTGTTGCACGAGTAAGACGCGCTTGTTATTGATGAAGATATCGGTTCTTGTGGCACCCACTGCAAAACAAGAGAAACAACAAAGATTATGAAAATCCCAAGAGAAAGAACTAAGTGCGGATTTGGCTGTGGTTTATCAACCTTCAGCTAAAAATGAGCGGAGAAAACTATTTGGAAGGTATAGTATAAGCATATGCCAGGCCTAAACCCCAAAAGTAAAAGATACTTTGAATACGTTTCATTGGAATTAGTGGAACAGGTGATTTTTGTACCTTCTGAACGCACTCCATCTTTGAACCATCATATATGGCTATTTGTGTCTCATGAGAAACCAGTAAATGAACCTGGTCATTGTGGAACTGGACTCGCGTGTCTCCTATTGGTGACTTTCCAGCTGGTAGTTGGATAGCTATAGATTTCTTCTTCTCCCATGAGTCGACGCTCCAAAAGAACAGCTATAAGATACAGAGATCAATCAGGCTACAGCCAAGTCTGGTGAAAGCTCAAATACCATGCCGAGAATATATGAAACATAGCCTACCTGAGCATCAGCACCAGAGGAAACCAGTAAATTGAGAGTGGCAGAGAATGCTAAACCAGTGATGTGCTTTTGGTGGCCTTTCAACTTTGTTTTCACCTGCAGATTGAAAGAGAGATTTTATTACAAATTCTACAAAGTCAAAAGAAGAATTTAGAGTGTCAAAGATATTATTTTAGCAATCAGCTCAACATAATCTTAAAGCTAAACCAAAAGTTCAATATGAATACCTCGTCTTTACAAAAACCAGAATTACGATCTCAAATGAATTAATTACCTCATCTACCCGGACGTTGTAAATATGAATGGTTGAATCCTCCATCCCAATTGCAATAATGTTATTATCTTGAGGATGAAATGCCAGGAATGTCGAAGCAGGAGGAGGTGGCATGAAAGTGGTCATTACCTGTGAACAAAGTGAAAATACCAGTCAGCTCACATATTTTACACAGACCAGTGATGCTTCTGTCACCAAAGTTATAGTGTTGTCGCATCACAGGCAAAGATGTAACTGACTAAGCATAGGAGAAAATAAGATAGATAGGTTGCGCACCTTGAAAGTCATCATATTAAACAGTGAAACCTTTCCACCACAAGCAGACATTACGTACGAGTCATTCTTAGAAAGAGCTATGCACGGAACAGTTCCCTCAGGATTCTCCGGAACATCGTTTGTCATTAAGAGACCACTGTTAGGTTGCCAATGCTGCGGAGTGACACTAGCGGTAGCCTTGAAGAAAAAAAAAAACACTTTCAGCGATTTGGACAAGAGAACATAGAAGTGATCTGAGCACACAACTTTTAAACATACATATAAATATCCAGCATGTATCAAACTGCACTAGGTCTAGAAGCAAAGGTTTGTATTACCTTTCCAGTAGGATTTTGCTCGCTACGACTCCACTTCCATAGTCTCTGGACACCATTTGTTCCAAGAGCCAAAATGCCAACACCGGAATTCGTATAGAGAAGCCGAGCAACCTTCGAAATGAAAGTGGCAAATTATTAATCGGTATTACTAGGATAAGTGATGGAAGTCCCCATTTATATAGGAAACATAACCAACCTTGCTAACAGAATCCTTGCTGTCTGGCATGGTCACTTGTCGGCACTGAGCGGGATCAATAACTGTGATTAGCTCCAAAGGTTTGGACTTTTCAACAGACTCCAAGTTTCTTGCCATTTCCATAGTTCTTGACATTGCATCAACTCCATTCTAAACAGATAATGAAACCAAAGTCAGACAACTCTGCAATTTGTATTTTCAGGGAGAAACTTATGAACTGTACAAAACAAGATGCATTTTCAGTTTGGCCAAGGTTAGTCAGACTAAGTGCATAAGGAATTTCATTTAATCAGATTTGTGAATTTGAGTGATGCAACTAGCGTATCAGGCTCAACTGTACAGTCACAATAAGCCGATATGTTGCCACACATACACGGGCCCCACCTGTCACCTATAATCATCTATTGCTGAAAGACACAAATAAAGCGAAAGATAGTAAAACATACAGGAATAGGGGTTGGCCTTGCAGGAGAGCCTATATCCATTTGTTCCATTTTACCGATAGCTGGGCTGATGCTTGTAACCATTGGGGGTATAGATACCTGATTCCCAGCATTGGCGTAAGAAATTGTAAGTTCCGGTGGACAAAAGGTATTATAAAGAAGGAAAAATTCAAGAAAAGCGCACAAGAAAATAATATTAACCTTCATCTCTGTCGATGCTCTGGATGCTTCAAAAGAACGAGCTTCCATGACCCTTAAGGTTCTAAGACCATCCACATTAGCAAGGATCTTGAATCCGTTATCAGCTGTAGTAACAGCAAGAAGGTTCCCTTCCTTGTTGAATCTCAAACGGGGAAGACTCTGATACAAGTAGTACATAGCACAATAAGGAACTATCAAATATATGAAACCACAACAAAGGAAAAAAAAAGGAGAAAAGATCAAATACAAAAAGCAATAGTTTGAAATTCATACCGGGAGTCCTCCATCAGCCTCGACAGTTGTTAATAGATTAGTATTGTCCATATCCCAGAATTTGACTTGGTTATCTTCACCAACGGCCAAAAATCGGTTGCGTGTTGTATCAAACTGAACAACCCCTGCAGATTTCTTTCTAAATCCCAAATAGGTCCTCTTTATGGCACCTTCACTCTCATTCCACTCAACCAGGAAAGAGTCTCCGTCTTTACTTGTTCCACAAGAAAATAATCTGAAACAAATGGCAAGCGTTAACATAGACATTGGCGTCACCTTGTAGCAGACCTGTAACTTCTTTTTAATGCTTAACTAACTAAATTCTTTATAAAAAAACCTTCCCACTAATGGAAAGCCG